TCCAAGTCATCGGCATTACCTCGGCGTAGTTGGGCTATTCAAGGAAAGAAAACCACGATGACTAATCCAACAACGTTTGATCCAATTGGTTCAGGACATATCATGGTTCCTAATGACTCTCCCGAAACTTCCAAAGATAGTACTACTATTCAACATGATGAACACATCGCCCGCTTGACTCAAGAGATTGAGAATCTACGTAGTGAACTAACTCGGGTTAGGGACTTGACCAATTTATCCATCACACTCCAAAGTCCACTCCCTGAACCTAGAAGTACTGCACCAAATCCACCCCGTTTTCCATCACTTGATGCACCAATTCCTGAACACTTTCCTCCACAATAACCTCCACCTACCAACAATAACCTACCTATAACTACTCCCTCAAATCCACCAAATTTGCCGCCCATCCACATTCCTCCACAAAGTCAACCACCTACTTATACTACCTATGCTACTCCTCTTAATCCACCACCCGTCAATCCACAAAATCAACCTACATCTCATACTCCTTACGTTTCTCTACCCACTAACACCTATCCAGTGCCTACATTTACTCCCGTGAACCCATTGAATCTACCACCTCCAATCTAAAATACGCCCATTGTCCAAACTTATTTAGCTCAACATATACAAGGGGCACATATTGCCACTCTTTATGTGCAATATTTTCCTTCGATATATGCGGTGGAAACTCAAGCCTTTACCAACCCAATATCGGTCAAGTTTCAACCCGAGGTAGATCAGTATGAGGAAATGGAGAAGGATGTCAAGGCAAAGGCTGACGATGTGTTATCTAGAGAGATTCATAATCTTAAGAAAGCAATGAGAAACCTCCAAACTACTAGGGGAAACAAAAGCCTAGAATATGAGGATCTGTGTGTAACCTGACATTGATTTGCCTGTAGGGTACAAACCACCAAAGTTTGATATATTCAATGGAATTGGTGACCCTCATACACATCTAAGGGCATATTGTGACAAACTAGTAGGAGTGGGGAGAAACGAGAGGGTCAGAATGAAGTTGTTCATAAGAAGTTTATCTGGTTAAGCTCTTGCTTGGTAAACACAACAAGATCTCCATAAATGGTGTGGTTGGAGTGATATGGCACAAGACTTTATGGATCGATTTAAGTTCAATACCAACATCACACCAGATAGGTTCTACCTGACTAAGTTGAAGAAGAAGTCAACTGAGACATTTTGTGAGTATGCTCTATGTTGGAGGTCAGAAGCAGCTAGAGTCCAACCATCGATAAGTGAAAGTGAAATGACTGCTACCTTCATTGAATATCAAGATAACAGCCTTTACTATGATAAAATGATAATCATGATGGGACAAAATTCAGAGAAATCATTAGAATGGGAGAAATCTTGGAAGAAAGAATCAAATTAGGAAGAATCCAAGACTTTACAGCCTTGCATGCTGCAAGCAAAGTGATTCAATATGGTTCTATCAATGGGAACAAAAAGAAGAAAGAAGATGTATATGTTGTCATGATTGACCAAGGACGCAGGCTAGGTCAACTTCTTCCCTACCTAAATCAACAACATCAACCCATTTACCCTTACCAATATGGTGAAGCCTCACATACTCTCTACCATCCTCCATCAAATCTTTATCATGTCTACAACACCCAGGCGAACTGTTATCAACCTAGAGTTCCTATTTACAATAAACCACATTTATACCAAGCAGTCCAAGCTTCAACTTTTCAAAATCGACCATATGCCGCACTTAGAGCTCATCCAAATCATGAAATCAAAACAACTCGCAACTATACCAAAATAGCTGAACCATTGGTTTAGTTGTTTGAGAGGTTGAAAACAGCAGGTATGATATAACCAATTGAAGGGAAAATTCCTGATCCTATTCCAAAATGGTTTGATGGTTCTAGGCGTTGTGTATATCATTTTGGAGTTTTTGGACACGACACTGAGGATTGCTATGGTCTCAAAAACAAGATTGAACCTTTGATTAAAGAAGGAGAAATCCAACTTAGTGGACCTCATCCCAACGTGAACAACAATCATCTGCCTAAACATGGGAATGCTAATGTGAACATGATAACTGTAGAGGAAACTTTGGTTGTGAACGGAAGTATTATGCCCATTGGAAAGATGAAAAATGATATTTTTGTCACGCCCAAAACCTTCACCCTGGGTAGGACTGGCACTCGAGAACCATTTCTGACCCCAAGCAAACCCTTGGCCTGGCTTACTTACTCAGCGAAAGACTTAAACATAAGAGACAGTCTCAAAATATAACTCATGCAATAATTTAAAGAGATATAAAGCTTAGCCAAAATGGCAACTCAAGTCTTAACGTATACAACTGAAAACGGAAAGACTAAAGAACTATAACTACTCGTCTATGAAGCCTCTAAAACAAAGAGGGATGTCAGGACAAAACCCCCGATCACCTAACAATTGAAATACTAGAAAGCAAGGTAAAATGAGTCCTCTAAAAAGCAAGGAGGCTCACCAATTGACTTTGGGTGCTCAACTGGATCAACGAGGCGCTTGATGCTGATCCTGGTTACTTGTGTCTGCATCATAAAATGATGCAGGCCAAATGGAATAAGTACATTGAATGTACAAGTATGCGAGGGGAACACTAAATAAGACATAAGCTTGAAAGGAATCTGAAAAGAACACTTACCTTGACTTTACTCAACTCATGAATAACTCAACTCAAATGTAAAGTAAACAACAATAATGGTGCAGTTATACAAAGCATTTAAAATAGGAGGTAGCAACTCAATTTGTTAAAGAAATGCAATAACAACTCAATTTACATGTAAAGTAATATAATACTGTGGGAGTTTCTTTAACCGACAACCACCACTATGAGCCTAAGTGATGATACATCATCTTTCCCACGCTGCCACAACTGTACTATACTTTTCCTTCATATAGAATGCCTTAACTAAGTGGATCCACTAGTCTATGCTAAAAAGCACTAAGGAATCATCTAAAAAGTATGATCCTTTCTACCCATGATGGCTACATAGTTTATGGAAACTTGAGTTATTATGAACTCACATCCCCATATAGGTGTTCAATACTACTCCCAAAATATACTCAGCTCATATGTTTTAAAAATGAGAAAAGTGGTTAAAACACACCTAAACTATACCTTTTTTTTTAGTTTCGTACCCAAACTATTAAAAGTGTAAGAAATACACCTAAACTATTTCACTTTAGTTTGAAAAACACACCTCAAATAAAATATGATAGTGTGTGTATTACACTGTCTCAATTATTAGTTTTTAAATGCCACATGGAAACAAATTCCACCATGTCAAAAGATTAAAGATTAACCTTCAATGTGTAGAAGCATCTTTCTCTGTTTCTCAGTTGAGTCTCTTTGGTGTCTGAAAATTTTGAGTAAAATTAGGGTTTTAACTATTAATTCACAAATTCATCATGGTTTGGAGGTTAGTTACTCATTTGTCAAAAAATGTTAGGGTTCTTATATTTGTCTCAAAATATTAATGATTTTGTTTAATTTTTTAGGTTTTGATTCATACCATCTTAAAAGATTTGAAAGGAAAAGAAATTGACTACATAAGGTACTCTTTCTTTACTCCTGAACTTAATTTTTGTACTGGTGGCGATTTTTAGCTACTGATTTCATGAACAATAGTTGGCTCATTAAACTTTGCATATTTCAATTGTTCTAAGGTAATGGGCACTAAGTACATAAATTTGAGGTTTCACATCGGTGGTATACTTGTGAGTGAGGTAGGACCTGCTTATATTGCGGGAGGGGGGGGGAAAGAATATGCCTTCAATGTTGATATAGACCATTTGTCTATTCCGGAAGTGAATGACTATTGCAGGGGTTTTGGGGTTACCAATATAGAAAAAATATATATTGGAGCTGCTCAAGTTGGCAATTTGGTAGAATTGGTTAAAGATAGGGATTCGTTGGTCTTAGCCAATTTGTTGGTTGCTGGGGGTACTATGGACATTTATATCTGCCATAAGGGGAAGATTTTATCAAAACAACACATGTGACCAATGAGTCTTTTGAGACCAAATGCAATGAAGTTGATAGACCTAATAAAGAGTCTACCAACAAAGCTGGTGAAGGTCTCAATGCACCTTTAGGGAAAGAAATAACATTTATTGATGGTAGATATCAAATTGTCGGGGGTCCAACAATCAAAATCTGATAGAAAAATGGCAGCAGAAACACAAATGAAGTTGAATATGAATATAAGTTTTCTAGTGAAGATGAAGATTCGGAGGAAGATGAAGTAGAAACTATTGTGCATAGTGATGCTAAAACTGATGAGAATGTTGACTTTTCTAGTGACGAGGATGGATATGGGAGTGATATTCATGAAGAGCTGAGCATAGTTAAGAAGGATTTGGAAGCATATTTGAAGAAAAAATAAGAGCCAAGTAAAAAAAAATTGCTTAGTGTTTTTTGGGAGAAGTTGGCATAGATCCTGGTTTTGAAGACATTGATAAACCCAAGAAAAATTTAACTGGTAAGCTAGTAGGTGATGAGCCTTTTTACGACAGTTCTGATGTCGATAGTTTTGAAAGTGAAAGTGAGGGGGAAATAAATGTTGAAAGATCTGATATTTTAAGGGCAAGAAAGAAGGACAAAAGGGTCTCATATGATCCAACATGGAAAAAAGTTGTGTGGCAACTTAATATGGTATTTGAAAATGTAAAAAAATTCATAGAAGCTTTTAGCAAGTATGCAATTGAGAGAGGTTGTCAACTGGATAAGATCCACAATGATCAAAGAAGGGTCAGAGTAAAATGCAAAGCTAATGGTTGTCCTTGGATACTCTATGCAAGCAAAGATTTCAAATCTTCTGATTTCATTATAAAAACCTACAATCCTAGAGAATAAGTGTTATAGGACCAATACCAACACAATGTGCAACTCTAAGTTTTTGGCTAAGTACTATAAAAGTAGAATTGTTTCTCAACCTTGCATAAAGGGATGGGAAATACAAGATTTGGTCAGGACAGACATGGGATTGTATGTTGGTAAGTTCGTGTGTTTGAAGGCCAGAAAAATGGTGTTGAAAAAGATAATAGGTGATCATGTTGCTGAGTTTAGTACTATGACTACAGAGATATGCTTCTTGAATCAAATCCAGGAAGCACTTGTGTGGTGAAAGTGACAAATTGTGATGATGGAAAAAAATTATTTCATTCCTTTTATATTTGTTTTTCAGCTTTGAAAAAAGGATTCATTGAGGGTTGTAGAAAGTGCATTGGGTTAGATGGTTGCTTTTTGAAGGGAATATCTAAAGGCCAGCTACTTGTTGCTATTGCAAATGATGGGAATAATCAGATGTTCCCAATAGCATGGGCTGCTGTTGGAACTGAAAGTAGAGAAACTTGGACTTGGTTTTTGAGAATCTTGAAATCTGATTTGGACATTAATGATGAAGGAGAAGGATTGACTATCATAAGTGATATGCAAAAGGTATGATTTTTAGCCTCTGGTTTCAGCTATTTTAGCCAATATTAGCTGCTATTTTCAGCTTATTTAGCTACTGATTTTACAAGTTTTAGTTAATGTGTTTTAAGTAATTTAACTACTAATTTAAGCTCTTTTTTAACCTCTGTTTCATCTCTTATAATCCAATTTTAACTATTGATTTCATAATTTTTTAGCTGATGTGTTATAAGTAGTTTTAAACTATTGATTTCAGCATTTTGTAAGGACCTTTTGATAGTCCATAACAACATTCTATCTTGTCCACAAAATTAGAAACTCTAGCGGTACTTTGTTATTCAACTTGTTTAGCTACTGTTTTTTTTTTTGCTACTATTTTCATCCCTTTTAGCTTTAGTTGTATAGTGATTTTAGTCTTAGTTGTGCGTATTCTTCACTTTTGATGCCACACTTGTATTGGATTAACAAAAAATACACTACTTTTGGCTAATTCAACTTGCCCTCATTGACATTTTTGAAGAGTCCAAGCAACATATTTTTTAGTTATTGTTTTGAGTGATTTTAACCACATAAGTTTTTCAGGGATTATATTTAGTTGTTCAGGAGTTGCTTCTAGAATGTGAACAAAGAATGTGTGCAAGACATATACTTGCAAATTGGTAAAAAAACTGGAAGGTGTTGAGGAAAGAAAGAGGTTTTGGGCTTGTGCTAGATCAACATTTGAAGCTGAACTCAGGAAGAACTTGGATAAATTAGCACAATTAGGCAAAGATATTTCTAATGACATGGTAAACTTCAATCCTAATAGATGGTCCAAAGCACAGTTTAGGACATCCTCAAAATGTGACAGTGTGGATAACAATATGGCTGAAAGTTTTAATGCTTGGGGGTTGGGTGCTAGGGACAAGACTATCATCAGTATGCTTGAAGAAATAAGGAAAAAGGTAATGAATAGATTCACTAAAGTGATAACATTTGTAAATAGTTGGACTCATGACATATCTCCAATGGCAATGTTGGTGCTAAATACAAATGTGAAGAAGTCAATGAGGGTGGAAACTAGTTGGAATGGTGACATTGGGTATGAAGTGAAAGATAGTCCATATATACATATGGTTAACCTAATTCAAGGAACTTGCACTTGTAGAAGTTGGGGATTGAAAGGGATTCCTTGTGCACATGCAATAGCATCTATACATCACGATGAAGCTAATCTCCTTGACTCAGTTTGTAAGTGGTACAAAAAAGAAACCTAGCTAAAAGCTTATAAACATTTTTTACAACCAGTAACAAACATGAAGATGTGGCCCGAGACATCGAATTCAAAAGTTGAGCCACCTCTTGTTAGGAAAATTCCAGGAAGGCCTGGTATAAAAAGAAAGAAGGAACTTGGAGAGGTACCAAGTTCTAGAAAGCTTCCAAAGAGGGGGAAAACCGTGAGTTGCTCCGCTTGTAAGTCAAAAGGTCACATTATAAGAAAATGTCCAAACAAACCTCCAGCCACTTCAGAGGTACATTTGATTTCTATTAACGTTTATTTATAGTGTATTAATACTGTTAACACTTTCAAAATTATTCTTTGCATAGGGTATTACTACATCACAAGCATCTGCCAGTAGTAAAAGAAGTGGCAAGAAAAAATCTCACCCCACTCAAGAAGTACAACAATCTCAATCTTCTGAACCATCTCAAGCAATAGTGCAAAGTGACAGTGGTAATAGAAAAAGGTGCAAATAGTGCATTTAAGAGGCCAAGAGTAGTGGGTCATGGAGTATTTGTGAGCAAAGATGGTTTATTTGTTGCCGAGGTAAAAAATGAGAGTTAATAAGCTTATATTCTTGATTAAACTTCTTAAAAATAATTTAACGACTCTTTATACTTTACAGCAAGGAAGATCTATTAGTAGGGTAATCAAGAGTGAAGCACAAAAGAAACTGATAAGTTCAGCTATTGTCACCGGTGACCTTGGGTATGCACCAAGTAAAGGTCTTAAATGGAAGGGGAAAAGTGTTATCACAGGAAGACAACTTCAACATAAAAGTGCTTTGCTTAGACAGAAGAACATCAAGTCACAAACGTCATCATAAGGTGCAGCAAGAACTGAAGGTGTTTAGGGATGATGTGACTGATTTTTCATGTGGCTCGAACTATTTTTAAGTCGCATATTTTGGTTGTGAATAGGACGATATCGAATTTTAGTTGTGAACTTTGATGTTACTACATACGGTGATTGATTTGCAGCCCAAGTAGTTATTGTAAGCTACTAAACATGGTGACTGATTTTTCATGTGGTTCGAACTGTTCTTAAGTCGTGTATTTTGGTTGTGAATAGGATGGTATACTGATTTGCAGCCCAAGTAATTTAATATCGTTGTAGGTTGGTCGGCAGGTTGGTCGGCAAATTGAAGCATTACTTGGTTTCAGTGTTTCTATACTATACAAACTAGAGCCGATCAATTTTTTACTTCGAGCTACTAAAAATGCTTTGGTGACTTCTGTCCTTAGCTGCTCATAGTTGTTTAAATAATCGTAATCAGAAAATGATTGATGAAGTAGTCTGTAAAAAGCGATAATTCAATAGAAAGAAAATATTCTCTATTTGGTGGCATAATGATACCACAAATATAGTCTAACTAGTTATTAAACAAACAAAAAAAAATAGAATCTGATGTCATGGACAATTACTCACCCCTCAAATTATTAAAGCTACCAAAGGGCGTCGTGGATTCCTTGTATGGCATCATTGATATACAAATATCAGTCCCTTTTGAGCGAGCTTAAGCAACTAGTGTAACATATAATTTTAAGGTGTGTTTCTCAAATTTATGAATGATAGTTTAGGTGTGTTTCTCACTCTCCTAATAGTTTAGGTGGGAAAGTAGTCAAACAATTTTATAGTTTTAGGTGTGTTTTTGATATTTATTTTTTGAAAAAGAGAAGCCATGTGGACGAAAATCAAGGCCACACGCGCGCAAAAGAGTGTGTACACACACATGTGGTCCAGTCAGCACAAAGGTGTGTTTTTCAAACTAAAGTGTAATAGTTTAGGTGTGTTTCTCACACTTTCAATAGTTTGGGTATGAAACTCAAAAAAAAGGTATAGTTTAGGTGTGTTTTAACCACTTATATCTTTAAAAATAAAACTCTTTCTTTGGTTTGAGATTTTTTTTTTTTTTTTAAATCAAAGACCACATGGGTCAAGAATTTATTAAACTAAGAGAAAATATATACAAAACATATGGGTTGCCTAAGTGAACAACCCACCAAATAAATAAACAAAACAATAAAAGACAACTCCTACCAACTAAGAAATATCAAAAAAAAAAATTAGGAAAGTGGAAGTTGAAGAGTACTTGCAGGTGCAGCGCCTCTTCCTCGATACATAATCAAATCGGAGCTGAAACTCTACTTCAATTCGGCGTAATTGTATACCCTTGAAACCCTTTGGTATTTTGCCTACTCACTTCTATTCAGATTCATCTCAATCTATCCATGCCAAATGATTTCAATCTTTTTGCTCAGTTTTCTCCTCGTAGATTTCATGTGGATCCAAGCTCGTGTAGATTATGTGGAAAGAGGGTAATCCATCCATTTAACCTCAGGTTAGTTGAAATTAGTTCATCTTCTTTGATCTAACCTTCAGTGGGTTGAACCCAAAAACAGGATTAATACCACCACCGAACCTTAAATCGTAAAAGAATTACTAATTTCTGACTTTTTTTTTTCTTCGAGGTTGTGTATGGATTTTTGGGATTTACACTATTGTACAGGTTGTGCAAAGTATTCTGGACTTGAAAAAATTGTCAGGTACACAATTGAACCCAACCAATTATTCTCTTCTCTTTTGGACTGATTGTTCGAAATAACCAATTTCGAAGTTATTCTGCTATGTGTATTGTGAAATAATAAACCTACTATAGATGTTAATTGACTGCTACAATCTATGAGTCTTGATTTTATACCATATGAAACACCCTAAACTCTCACCAGGTGCATGGTATGTCAACCAACTGAAATTCATTCAGACATCATATAATGTGTAGTAGCTTTTATCATCTAATATAGCTTTATCAGTATCATATGTAAAGTATATTCTAATCAAACCATTTATACTCTTGTAGTGTTTGACTGCCTTATCCTCAATTGTGGTGTGCTTTGTTTATCTAAGATGATAATTCTCTTGGCTGTATCCGGAACCTCTTGGAGAGATCTTAATTCATATGTACCTGCAAAAAGAAAAACCAAGTTAGCAAAAAAATCAGCAAGAGTATTTCCCTCCCTTAAGGAGTGTTGTACTCTTACTGACATGGAATTCCTCAATCTATTGATGGAATTGACCTCCATTGTCACATTCCAAGGTATTTCCCACTCTCCCTTCAGCATATGTACCAAAGCCAACTAGTCAGTTTCAATTATAATGTTTGGAAAGTTGTTTTCCAAACAACATTGAAGACTTTCTCTAATAGTAATAGCTTCAGCCACTAGATTAGTAGAATCAGGGATCCTCACCCCCTTAGCAATCACCAGCTCTCCTTCGTGATTTATGATACAAAAGGCAACAACACTAGGCCTAGGATTACCTCTATAAGCCCCATCTGTATTACATTTCAACCACCCAGATGGTGGAGGATGCCATTTAACCCATTTATAGACAAACCTAGGTCTGAAAGCATCCAATAGAGCAACCATCTGTGGCCAAGTGGAGGGGACATTAGTATATTGAAACTTTAACTTCATAAATTTCTGAACAGTACTATTGATGTCCCAAATCACTTTACTTGTGGTGTAATTACCACCATGAAGCACAATATTTCTCCTTTTCCATAAGAACCATAAGATTATATTAGGAATAGCTTGAAACATCACCTTTTGCCTAGTATTTCCTTGAACATCCCACCATCTTTTAATAGATTGCTTCAACTAAATCCAAGGCCCTAATATTCCAGCTGCAGATGAGAAATATTGCCACACTTTGTTGGCAATTTCACCTTTCAAAAATAAGTGTTCCATAGTTTCTCTTACTGGAACAGTACAACATAAACAAAGTTGAGACTGATTAGGATTCCAATTAGCTATAACAGCAGCTGCTGGAGCTCTATTAGTCCAAATCCTCCAACTAAAGAAAGATATCTTAAAAGGAAGATCTTGCACCCATATCATCTTACAATTTTCATTTACTTCCTTTTTTCCCCTCAAAATCTCCCATGCACTCTTAACTGAGAACTTTTCAATGCTTGTCTTGATCCACCACGGTTTGTCTCCCATATCAGTCTGTCTAATATGATCCATATGCTGCCTAATATGTTCCACAACATGATAAGGCAGATGATCATACATACTATCATAATCCCACCCTACTTCCTTCATGAAAATCTCAATGTCCATCAAAGAGTGACAAGTTTGTACTTCAGTTTGATATGTGTAAAGAGGACCTAGTTGGGTCCAATTATCATACCAAACAGTAGAAGTTCCACCCTTAGGCTCCCACCATATAAATTTTTCAATGACATCCCTATTTTGTAACATATTCTTTCATAATTGAGATCCACCTTTCCATTGAACCAGAGCTGGAATATGCTTCTTAAAATATTTGTTCCACATAAAATTAGCCCATAAGGTATTCTGAATCCTGAATCTCCACCATAATTTAGCATACATTGCTTTAGAAACATCAAATATGGATCTAAAACCCAAACCTCCTTCTTGTTTAGGTAAACAAACATCAACCCATGCAGCCTAGTGTTTACTCTTGCCTGTAGTTTTGTTACTCCAAAAATATTTAGCAAAAATCTTATGAAGTTCCTTAAGCACGCATATAGGAGGAACTATAGCTTATAATACATGAATTGGAACACTCTGTAGCACACTCATGATAAGAACCTCTTTTCTTCCATATGACAACATATTCCCTTTCCAAGATTGAAGTTTTGCCTTCACTTTCTTAATAAGCTCTTCATAATGTTCCTTCCTTTTCCTGGAGTGGGTGATAGGGCAACCTAGATATTTCAAAGGAGATTGACTTTTAGTAATACATGTGCATTCTTCCACCAATTGTTTCTCAGTAAAACTTGCACTTTGATGTAAATAGAAAGCACTTTTCTCCTTGTTGACTTTCTGACCTAACTGAACTTCATACTCCTGCAAAATTGACACTATTCTCTTCAAAGAGTAACTGTTAGTTGAAGCAAATATAATAGTGTCATCTGCGTAAGCCAAATGATTAAGCTTAGCACTCCACTTTGGTAAACCATACCCTATAACTTGATCATCATCAAACAAAACATTTAGGCCCCTGGAAAGCACTTCTGCCGATAAGATAGAGAGCAGGAGATAAAGGGTCTCCTTGTTTCACTCCCTTACTGGAATGAAAATATCATGTGCTTGGCCATTGATCAAGACTGAATACCAATTGTTGGAGATCAATCTCCAAATCAAATCAACAAACAATTCTGAAAAGCCCATTTTCCTTAAAACTTGCATAAAAAAGAACCAAGATACTCTATCATAAGCCTTGGTCATATCAAGCTTTAGGATCACATTTGCTGGTTTACCTCTCTTTCTGATGTTAGAGACAATCTCTTGTGTCAAAAGCACATTTTCAATGATGCTTCTACCTTTAACAAAACCTGATTGATTGTAGGAAATCAATTTGGGTAAATAAGCTTCCAGTCTGTCATGAACAACCCTGGACATAATCTTATTAGTGAAATTACTCAAACTAATTGGTCTTAAATCAGAGAAGGACTGAATTTGTTCCTTCTTAGGTAACAGTACCAAATTAGTGTGAGTAATGAATCTAGGAAGAGAATTACCTCTGAAAAACTCTTGTACCATTCTAAAAATATTAGTACCCACTATATCCCAATAACATTGATAGAAAACACCCGATAAACCATCAGGACCACTTGTACTAACACCATTTAGATTGAAAACCGCTTTTTTGATTTCCTAAAGAGTTGGTTGCCTGCAAAGAATTGCGTTATCTGCCTCACTAATTATTTCAGGAATGTTACCTAATAAGGAAAACTCTGTAGCATCTCTTTCTCGTAAGAACTGAGAATGATAAAAGTTCACAGCCTCTGCTGCAATTTCCTCTTCTTCCTCAAGCCAATTTCCCTGATTATTCTGAATTATGTGCAGTTGGAGCTTCTTTCTTCTTCCCTTCACAATACTGTGGAAGAATCTTGTATTTCTATCTCCATTCTCGCACCAATCATACCCAACTTTTTGTTGCTAGAAGATTTCTTCAAGTCCAAATACCTCTTAAATTCAGCTTGAGCTCTTTGAAGCACTTGTCTGTTTTCACCACTGGGATGTTCTTCAAACAATTTTTCTTTAATTTTGACAATATCTTCTCTGATAACGAGTTGTTTAAAGATATCACCATAAGTATCTTTGCTCCATTTTGTCAAAGCCGTTTTCACTCTCTTTATATTCTCCTTGAAGGCTATGAATGGGTAATGTCTCATTTTCTACCCAATTCTGCCTCACCACATCAATAAATGATGCATTTTCAGTCCAGAATTTAAGAAATCTAAATGGTTTCTTATACCTGGTTGCAACTTCTTCACAAGTTAAAAGCATAGGGGCATGATCAGACCCTGTTCTAGCTAGATGCTCAACTTCCATATGATTAAACCATCCCTGCATTTCTTGATTAGAAAGAATTCTATCCAATCTTTCAAAGATACACTCATTATTAGCTCTACCATTCCACCAAGTAAATGGGTTGCCTCTAAATTGTATTTCGTTTAAATCACAGGAGGAAATACAGTTTTCAAAGTCTTCATGATCAGCATAACTCACCGGTGAACCACCTATTTTTTCTTCTGCATTTAACACAACATTGAAATCTCTTCCAACTACCCATGGACTTGTCATTCCTGTAGCCAATTGGAAGCGGTCTTCCCATAACATCTGTCTTTGATCAGCATTACACTTAGCGTAAACTAATGTAACAAATAAACTGTGAATATAACTTTGATGATGTAATTGCAAAGTTAGTTGTTGCTCAGTGTCCTTTATCACAGTAGTAGTAAAATCATGGTTTGTAAAAAATCAAATTTTACCATTGCAATTTGACGTAGCCAAAGGCATCCTTAATATCCTCCTATATTTGTTAATATGTCTAGAGTTTTGAAACGGTTCCAATAGTCCAATAAAAGTGAACTTATGGAAATTATGAAGCATCTAAACTCTATGAAATGCTTGTTGAGACTTCACAGATCTAATATTCCAAATTAGAGCCTTCATATATCTTAGGAACTGATTTAGCTCTCTTCGGTTGAACTCTGGTAGGCTGAGTATTTTCTCCATTACCCTGCTTCTTCCCCTTTCTGGCACATTTTAAAAGCTTTGGAGATATATTAGCTTCAATTGGTACATAATCCCATATCTCCTCTGATTCCTCAATTTCAATAATACCTTTAGCAATTTGGTTATCTTCTGCTTCAAGACTCTTCACTTCTTCTAAATTATGAGACACAATATCGTGTAGAACTCTATTAGGAGACTCTATTTGAATCATCTGTGACTCATCTATTTGAACTGCATTAGGAACTTCCACAATTGTCAACTCCATGTTTGAAAAATAATATGCTTGACTGAGTATCAAATCTTTCTGTTGGTTGCTAATATTGTTGGAAACTACATGTTCATCTAAATCATTAGCATTAAACTCAATCTCATTGCTCTTCTATTGTGCTTCGTCTCTATTTACATTAATATTGCTGGACTCTGAATCTTGCCCTTTAATTGTATCTATGACCTCAGCCTCATTGCTATTCTTTTGTGCTTCATGTCTATCCACATTGGTGTTGCTGGACATTGAGTTCTGCCCTTTATCTGCATCTATGACCTCAATCTCATTGCTATTCTGCTGCACTTCATCTCCTTTGATATGTTTCTGTATATTTGTTGTTCTTTGTTGCGCATGTTTATCAAGTACAATTATATCATTTTTCTTACCAAAGGACCTTGTGACCCAATCTTTAGAGGATTCCCCTTGCTGGAATATTCTTGCATCCTTATTAGTTTGCTTATTGCTACTGATGTCCTACTCATTTCTTGCCTATAACTTCCTTTCTTTATCCATCTCCTCTCCATGTCGTGTAAGAGCATCAAATTTATTTTTGACTGCTATAGGTAGCTGATATTCACAAGGTCTCAAATCTTTCACCACAGCCCATTGTCCAAGGTCACCAACCACCCTACCACTTGACAGGACTCTAGCTTTGCCTTTTTAAAATCCATGCACATAACAGAGTTTAGCGGGAATAGGCCGAGGATCTGAATTATTAATACCACCACCCCTATCATGTTGAAAATTTTCCACATCTCTAGGTTGTGGGATTTTGCGCATTCTGCATTCTTCATTATTGTGCCCTTGCATTTTGCAATCAAAACAATATTTTGGAACATAATCGTATTTAATAGCAACCATATTATACCTAACTTCCCCAGTAGCTTCATTCTCTATATTCATCTGAACAACCTTAGGGAAATTCTTTTTCAAATCCACTAGAACCTTCACACGAGCACAACTAGGCCTAGATTTATTGGCAGTGGCTTGATCAATTTGTAGAGGTTTACCCACAGCAACAACTAAAGAGAACAAACATTCTTTGACAAAAAAAAGTGGGCAATAGGTTAGGGAAAGATATCCACGCCATGGCCAGCGATGTTTCTTCGTTAACATTAAACCTAGAATCATATATCAGTGTGCGCATTAGGTAAGAATACCCGTCTTTGCATTTGACATAGAAAGCTCCCTTTGAAATCAGATTAACAAAGTCCTCATGTTTTGTCAAACGAATGAGGATATGTTTATTACGAAAGAAGCCAATTTGACAATTACCCTTAACATCACATTGTTGAGGAATTATCCTCCTTAATTCTTCTAAACCACTCCATTCATGCGTAAATTTTCCTACCACTGCAAATTGAAGCTCTTCAATTTGATTCATTCTGTCAACCTCTTCCTCTGTCCATTTGATTTGTGGGATACCCCCAACCAGTGTAAATTCTCTTCTAATACTGTCATGACTTTGTTGAGCCGATTGGTTAAGGGATTCTGCAAATGAGAATTCTTTAGGAAGACATAGGTTTAACAGTTTAGTAGCAGTTGAGGCCTTTGAAGGTAAAAGAGGAAATTCTGAAGTAGATGTTAGTAAATCAGCCACCGGAAAAGGTTCGCCGCCGGCGGGCTGACTCATACTCTTAGGGTTCTTCCTTTAATCGACTTCTTGTTTATTTTGTATTTGATGTTACAAATGTGGATTCTAGTGGAACTTATCCTCTTTGGTTTGAGATAATTACTCAAAACTTAGCTTAAAAGCTCTCTTGGAAATCGGTGTTCCCTTTCTTG